CAATCAGACAGGTTTGCATCCTTGAGAATATTAGGCGAGGAGAGGAGTGGGTCAAACTGCCACCTAAACAGTCAGACTTGTGTAGAGTCAGAATCCCGCTGAGCCGGGAATGCAGAGACTGGCCAGCTGGTGCCACAGAGGTGGAAATTCAGCAAATTAATTCAAGATAATGTTCGCTCAGAAGATTTGATCATTTACACAGACGGTTCAGTGTCAAGAGGCAAAAGAAGTGCTTAGGGCTTCTTTGCAAAAGTTAATGGTCGACGTTTGGTGCCGGAGAGCCTAGCATATGATACCACAACATCCAGCTTAAGAATGGAGGTGAAGGCGGTCACTGCAGCTTTCCGCTGGCTAGAGATTCAGAAAGCATGCTGAGGAGGATCAGAACAGGTATGCTTCGTGCAGAGTGGCATGTTTCGCTGTGGAGGACACGAGTGATGAGTATTGTCCGGATTTTTTCACCGGGTGTCGCCGATGTGTTGGGAAATGAACAGGCGGACAGACTGGCTGGCTCTGCACAACTTGGTGGAATACTGAATCATGATAAGGCAGACGTGGTTAGTGCCTTGTGGGAGAGCGTGTACAATCCGGAGGAGCAGATGAATCACCACAGTCTGGTGAGATTGATGCAGTTGGGGGTGACGAGAGGTTCTGGCAGATGCTCGAGGCTCAGAGGAAAGGCAAGATGGACGTTTAATCAGAATGCTACTGGCACCATTAGTATCGGAACTCTTCGCTGGCTGCTGAAGATGGGGACAGAGCGCTTATGGGAATGCCCCGAGTGTTGTAATGTCGGTTCTTGAATCAAATCAAATCAACACTAGGTGGTGTATGCACAAATACGACACCCAGTGTCTTCGGGCGGAAGAACGCATTCGGAAGGATACCAGCCTTATCCTGAAAAGGTATGCAAATATAGATAGATAGATAGATAGATAGATAGATAGATAGATAGATAGATAGATAGATAGATAGATAGATAGATAGATAGATAGATAGATAGATAGATAGATTGATTTGCATACGCTCAGGGAAGGGAGATAACTTAAAATTGATATCACCGTTGATGTAACACTATGAGTTACTACCCCGTGAGGCAAAAATTATAAACGTGGCAAACGTTGACTACGCATAGTAACCTTGCATTTTCTGTTTCTTCCAATCTACACATGCCCACTTACACAGGAACCGTTGCCATTAGCTCTGGGTGACAGAAACACGCAACGGCGGCTCATAAGTGTAGAGTATTCGAATGAACTAGCATTCATACAATCAGTAATCATATCTGACTCCATAAACTTGCTTAAGAAAATCACAACAGGCAGTCTATGCTCAGTAATGGTATTATTCTCTATCGTCCTTTTCAGGATGAAATTTTTTATTTGAAGCTCCATCCTAGCTTTTGCCGGGGGCCGCAATATAGGCAGGCCATAAATATAGCCAAATGTCTGAACGCGTTTTCTGGGACCTCTCCACGGCAATCCTCATCCACATGGTGGCACTTTGTGTCATCGGGTGTTTATCGCTTGTGTGATGTCCTGGTGGGGTAGAAAGTCAGTCAGTCAGTCAGTCAGTCTATGCTCAGAATTGGTAGAAATAATTGGAAGCCACACCTAACATCTATCACCTGGATCTACACACCTTTGTATACTGAAGTAAAAGATAATGAACAAGCTGACTAATTAGCAAGTAACACACAAATGCTTACAAAAAGAAGCAAGGACAGGGCTGATTACATGTATGCTGGAGGGGCTATACATATGTCTCTGGAGATCCCTGTGGTTAGTTTCCGGTGCTATGGTGTTTAGTGCTTCGTGAGATGCTCTTAGCAAATTAACAACTCTCTGTGGAGAGATACAAAACCATATCGAGCAATACCTGGTGTAACCTAGTTCATCCTCTCGCTATGAAATACCCTTTTTAAGACACAATATATTTCAGTTATTGGCCCTCCAAAAGCTATTATGGGCACGGAATTCACATTCGAGAGACCCAGGTTCAAATCACTGTAAAGTGATGGGATTTTCTGTTGGCGCCAAAAATAAAATCCTAATGTACAGTCTGCAGCGACTGCACTAACCATCAGGCCTTAAATCCTTAGGCTCAAATACCCCCCCCCCCCCCTCATGTCCTATGTCCTATGCAACAAAAATAACAACAAAAATAATAACAACAAATGGTAAATACAGGAGTTGAAGAAGACTCATACAGATATTAGTTTCTCCACAACAAATATGCATCTGAAAAATGTTTTCATAATTTCATTTTCAATACGTTGTGGCTCTTTTCTTACATAAAGAGTTAAAGTAATTACCTGTGACATAGTTTAAATAATAAACAAATTAATTACTGAACATATATTTTGAACATCATATTTACATCATTTATAAAAACAAAATTGACAAAGGTACAAGAATTTATTTTAAAGAAATTATTGCCTGGTTGTAAACTCCGACATCAAGTTCTGGTCGTTCATTCACTTGAGGACTTTAGTCTTGCTCCAGAACTTGAGTTTTGTGTGCAGGTCAATGTTTACAGATCTGTATTTGTATGCCTCTCAGGCAGATGCACTCTAACTTCGAAGGAAACACCTCTAATTAGTTGACTTTTAAGACATGCTTGTTAAGTGCCCCGGAACCCATTAAGGAAACATCAACATATAAAAGCAGCATTATCAGGTGTCATGATGACAAGCGCAAGTCGTCATTGTTCAGCATCTTACACTCACACGATCTCTGCTACCAGATAAGGTCTGTGTTCTTCTTCTGATCATGCCATACAGATATTTACTCAGTCAAATGCTGACTATCAAGAGCCATCTGGTGCACATGACCTTTCTTCCTCATGAGTGCCCATTGGTGATGTTTATTAAAAACTGAACAAGTTATCTCATCATATGGCTGGGAAGGCTAACCTGGGCAACAGATGCCTGCAGAATTCAGATGTATCTGCTGAAAGGTACAACTATTGCAGCCATGAACGCAGAAGATAAAGGATCATACTGTACTAGGAATTTACAGTTATGGACTCTGCTAAAACCCACATCCACATGAGAAACAATTTTTTTTTTTAAATAAATATTAAAGCCCTGGCTGAACTTCAGATTACTTTGTAATTGTCATCAGGGGTCCTAATATAAGACAATGGTTGAATGGGGTTTCTGAGCCTTAAGCCTGTGAGATTCACATCTGAATGGTGGTACTTTGTATCACTGGGTATAAATCCCTCGTGCGGTCTTAGTGGGGGTTAAACATCACTCACTCATTATGGTCTCTTACCAACATCTTCCAACAGTTTGTCTAGCTAGACAAACCCTGCAAGACAACAGGATGGGAGAGCTTATGCACGGTGTCATAATGGGTGTTCAAAATCTCACAGTAAGTAAAATACAAGTGAAAGGTGGTTTTCCTCCTGGTGGTACATGTCAAGCGGCCAACCAAAAAAAGTGATGGGTGGAGGTAGTAAAAGAGACATTGCAGAAGTGCAGTATGACACTGACACAAGCTACATAACTAGCAAAAGACAGGAATCTGCATATAACTCCCCTCTGTAATGCTTTGCGGCAATAAGCAGTGGACAAAAGAAGAAGAAGGTACACTGAGTATAGTTTGTTTACTATTATAGACCAATTGGTACATGCTTTGGTGATGTGTTCAACATCATGCGAACACCTTTACTTCCCAAGACATATCCTCTTGGTATCCATTTCAGGCTAGGTCAATCAGAAAACCAACCTAATGTGTTTTTCTAGGAAGGAGGGGGGGGGTTTTAATCTCTCCAGTGCAGACCTAACACCTTCCAGCAATAAAATAATATACAGTGGGAAAAAAAAATAATAAAAATTCCATTTGCTCTATGGCACACAAGTAAATGATAACATATATTCTTGCAATACATTTGCCATCCACAACAGCCAAGCTTTTTCTTACTGGTACTTTCAGTCCAGCTGTTGCACTGGAGTCTAATCCAGCTGTTCTCTTCTCAGGAAATGGCCACAAAATATGGAGGATAATGAGTTTCCCTATTTCCTCATATCTTTTAGAACATCTTCCTCATTCATGTTGGTTATGCCAGGTATTCTTAACATTCATCTGTGAGCTGAAAGAACATTTCTTGAATCTATCAGTTATCTGCTGAAGGATCACTATCAAGATATATATTTTTCCTTCATTTCATAATGAATGAGTTACTGTAATGGTGAATGCCCTGTAAAAAAAAAAAGTAAAGGGCCCTTTTCCACGCCTTTAGGCGTTAGGTCATATAGGGCTAGAGCTATATTTTTATAGACTAATCGGCACAAGATGGGTGATGTGGTCAGCATCAGGCTGGCCGCCTCTACTTCCCGGGACTGCACCCGGTACCCACTCAAGGCTGGGTCGACCTGGGAGCAAAGATCATTTTTGAGAATGCACTGTATTAACACAGAAGCTCCATATTTGATGCTTAGTGGTGGCAAGGCTATAATTGACACAGATGTGGGGCTGATTTAATAAAATGAGAAACTGAAATGTCTTTAGTACAGTAAAGGCAATCAGAAAAATATTGAGCATGTAACCATTTGTGTGCTTTTCAATTATCAAATTGAAGGCCCTTGCCGCTAATCCTCGGTATGCCTAAATGACATAAATATTTTTACATGACTTTAACTTTTTCAGTCCCAAGCATTCCTGGCATGTTACTGGCTCTTACTTGTGAGTCCTAACTATCAGATAATGTGTTTTTCAACTTTCTACGCTTGGTCAGATGATAATATAAAAATCTGACTTTTCTAATGCCCATATTCACTGCCTTTGAAAATCAAGCAATCATAAAGTTGCGTAATGATACTTCCCATATTGGGTGGCAGCTTTGAGGTACAAAAACAGTCAACTTCAAAATGAAAAAAAAAGCAAACACTAACTGGCCAGATTTACATTAGTAAAGTCACTGGCAATTCTTGTTTCTACCACATGGTAAATACTATTCTGAGAGGTTACTATGCTTTTTGTTCACTGTCCTTTCTAGTCAGCATTTGTTCTGTAAGTGCGAATCACATCTTTGATTGGTGCTCTGCAGACTGGACATCTATGACCACGGGACACTAGATCTCGTCCACAGGCAAAACAGACACACATATGTCCACACTGATATAAAACGGTGTCTGTATGTCTCTCCAAGCAGATGAGACAATGAGAGTCCTCGACAGGTTGAACTGATCCTGGCATAGAGGGTGAAACACCAGTAGCACCTGATGGGTACAGAAAAAACAAAGCAAAACTTTTAATAAAGATAATAAAATCTGATAAGTACCAGCTATATTTTCCCAGTAACACCTTATGATGACAGAATGAAGCAAAATATTAACAAATCAAGATAATCATAGATTCATCTGATAAGTTCCATCTATATTCCCCCAGTTACACCTTAACGAATGAAGAATTCAGCAAAATTTTAACAAATCAAGACAATAAAAGATTCATCTGATAAATTCCATCTATATTCCCCCAGTAACACCTTATGATGAAAGAATTCAGCAAAATATTAACAAATCAAGATAATAAGATATCAAGATAATAAGATTAATTTGACAAGTTCCATCTATATTCCCCCAATAACACCTTATGATGAAAGAATTCAGCAAAATATTAACAAATCAAGGTGATAAAAGATTCTAACAAGTTCCAGTGTTATTCCATCAGTAGCCCAACTAAACCAAATATTAAACCAAGATACTTTTTAAATGTTATCTGTTTATTCTCAGCATTATTCCATTGGTATTCCCTGATGAGGACAGAAACAAATATGAACATATCCAGATAACAAAAATTGTTATCAAATAAGCTTTATCTATAATCCATCAGCAGCAAGGGAAAAGGATATAGAATAAATTATTATATGAAGACAACAAAACATTTTAAATATCCAAATCTAACTGACCCTTAAGTAGGTAGTTAGTGCACGTCTGTCTGCTTAAACACCGCACACTGGGCAGATTGCATTTCCTGACTGCTTACGCAGAAAGTAAATTTGTGTGTGCTAACAGTGCCGGTGAAATCTTATGAGGTATTATAAATAAAGTCAAGAAATGTCAACAGAAAATGAAGTCTCTTCATTGTTTGTTTGTCTAAAGAAGGGAGTTCAAAATGCATGAAGAAAACTAATTATGATCAATATCTTTATTTTGTTATTTGTCAGATATGTCCATTTCAGAACAGTTATAATGAAAACTAATATTTATTTTTAAAAAAAAAGTTTCACTGTGACCGGAGGTGTTACACCATTGTCGAATGTAAACACTGTAGGTCGGCAGGCAGGCAGCAGTATGGTAAACTGCTGTTAGCTCACAGACAAGGAAACAGAAGCAAGGACATACACACTACAGCTACTGAAGGATTCTTCAACCTAGCAAGGTTAAAGGTTAAAGATGACAGAAGTAATCTAAAGTTCAGCCAGACTTCTTTGCACTGGATTTTATCCCATATGGCTTGATCTCTCTCGCAGAATGGCTAGCTGCCTGCTGAAAGTGTCATGCAATGATCCCCATGGATCTCATAAAAATTACTCACGGACGCAGCAGTGAAAAGAACCCACAACATTCAGAGCTCGTGGCAATCGGCTTGACCACTTCAACATGGAGACCCCTTCTATCTAGTGAAGAAAATGCTTTACTTACTACTTACTACTTAGTCGATCTTCTTCTACCTTGGTGTGTAGAGGTTTGCGAGAGAGGCCACCAGGCTTCTCTATCTGTAATTTTCTTTCCGGCTTTGTTCCATTCTAGTCCTCTGTCAGTCAGGGGCTGTCTTCCCAGCAAATCCTGGGTCACACTGGTGGTCTGGTTTTATGATTCTTGGACTCCCATGTCTGCCAATTCTCTCCTATTACATACATTTCCAAACCATTGTAACTGTGACTGATCCACTCGAGTTTGTAAAGCCTGATTTCAAGGTCATGGCATATTAGTTGCAAACTTTGTCCCTTCTTGTCGGACCATCTTTCTCAGATACCTAATTTCTGAAGCCTGAAGCTGGCTTCTGTCAGCATTTGTCATTGCCCATGACTCACACCAGTATGCCAGGACTGGCACATAGGCAGTGCGGTATACAGTCATTTTTGTCCTCTTGCTGCCCTTACCTCTCCCAGCAAAGACTGAGTCTGGCCCAGGGGATCCACATTGCGAGAGAAGCTTTGGGGGACTGGTAGCGACCTTAAACGCACAATCCTATTTTTGACCCAGACGGGACTCAATGTTTAGCATGACTGATGTCAAACGCAGAAGAAGAAGAAGTCCTCTTGCTAATTTCTCTTTTGCTGAGACACCCTCATTTTATGAACTGGAAGTCTTCTAACTGCTGTTTTTCCATTAGCCAATTATTGACTTAATACCTCCACTCTCCTCTTACAACTCCAAGGTATCTGAAATGCCCGACCTGCTCCAATGCACACTGTCTCATTATGACTGATGTTTCTTCTCCTCTCTAGTGATCACTATGCTTTTTAGAGCAGAGAACTCCATCACAGAAGAGCAAGCCGTGTGTAACTTGTCATACCCACTTAGATAACAATTAGAAAAAACTGATGTATCACTTTACCCATTTAATTAAGCAGTTAAATAAATCAAATATGTCAGGCTGCATGGACAATTGATCTATCTTACCAGGAACATTATTAATAGCAGCAGCCACTTCTTGCCTAATGGCTCTTTGTATGTCCACCTGAAGGTCAAATGTCAGCCTCAGCATGTTTTTCATTTCGTTCATCTGTGATCGGAGACTATGAATTTCCCTTGCTAGGTATGAGTTGGACTAGATTCAATTTGAAGAAAAAAAGAAACATTTTACCACAATATGCTTGAATTATAACAATGCACAAGTGATAGGGAATTAAATGTTTGATAAAACATGGAGGATGCAACTATGATAGACCAGCAGAGAAAAACAAATTGCATTATACAATAATATGTTGTAGCATGTTATAAATAATTATAAATGTTCATAGAAAGAAAAAACACACACAGCATATACTATGTACATTATATTATTATATATTTGTTTCTTCTTCTTCTTCACCTTTCATGCTGTAACTGCCTGCGGGAAATTCTGATTGTTTGTCCACTTTTAGACTTCAGCCTTGTCCACATCCATTTTACAGTTGTGGCTTATTTTGGATAACAAATAAGCCAGATTTTTAAAATGGATTACATGCAAAACTCAAGTTTGCTGCAGGTGAATGGGATGAAGAAGAAGTAGAAGACGATTTACTGCTTTCAGAAAAATGGGTACCTTAAATACTAAAGTACTGATAATGATAAGTCACTGATTACAGGGGGAAAAAAATGAGTTTATCACCATATTCTCAAAGTCTTAAATATTAACTGTCAGATTAATAGAAAAAAACACTAGCTGGAGAATAAACTATGCCCTTCAACATCTGCTAAAGTCAAAGTTTCTGTTTCGCAACACCAAGATCAAAATGTGTGAATTGTTGATAAGACCAGTTGTTTTATATGGCTCTGAAACTTGGAGCACAACTAAAAGAGATGAAGCCTTGTTACAGGTTTTCGAAAACAGAGTCTTTGACAAATCTTTGGACCCATCAAAGATGCAAACGGGGAATAAAGAGTGAGAAGCAACAACAAAATTCATAATGTGTTTCAATCACCATTGATCACTGGCATCATGAGAGCTTATAGACTAAAATGGTTGGGGCATATTGAAAGAATGTCAGATGACAGATAAGTGAAAGCTGTATACACAAGGGTGATGAATGATCGTAGACCACGAGGCAGACCAAGAAGACGATGGAAGAGATAATGTCCAAGCAGACCTGCAACCCCGTGGTGTCACCAACTGGAAAGAGAAGGCCAACCAGAGTGATATCTGCAGCAATGAGAGCCAATCTATATGGGTTTTCATCATAGTGGATTTGGGGGGTTGGGGGTAGGGGTGTAGATTTAAGTGGCTTCTGGCAGTTAATTAGTCAATGACTAAACATGGGCTCACTAATCGACTTACTAATGGTAAGGACAGTTTGTCTGAAACTTCTTCTTTTTCCTATTCATGTTCACTGGCTGTAAACTCCAGTGGAAAGTTCAGGTTGTTCATCCATCACTGGACTTTAGTCTTGATCCAGAACCTGAGTGTTTTGTGTACATCCATTTTACAGATCTGGCTTATTTGCTTGTAGACTGTTGGTTCCTTGCCTCTCAGGAAGATGCATTCCAACTTTAAAAGATGCCCTCAATTAGTCGTCTCTTACAACATGCCTTGTTGGGGAGGCAGTGGGACTGCTCTTATTTTCACGACAACAGGACCCCAGAACCCACATGAGGGGTTTGTCTGAATAATACTGATTACACATTAAGCGATACACAAAATATATCTCACCTGTGCATATGGGACCGAATGAGCACTGACACTTGTTACAGAAATGTTGTCCCAATTATCATTTTGCTGTGCCTGTGGAATACCCAGCTGACTGAAGTCATTACGCTGTACGCCAGTACGAGGTAGAGAATTAATGAAATCTTGCACTGCTCTGCCATTGGTACCCGAAGATGATATGTGATTCTGAAAGAAACAAAATTACATTTTTCGGTAATGATTTTTTACACCATAATTTGATGATGTCGCTGAACTCTTACAGGTAAAAGTAATCTTGGATACTTCTATGGGAATATGAAGCAATTTGCTTTGCAATATTAACTCAATATTAACTCATCAGAGACATGGTTTTACAGAAGAATCTTTACATTTCCTTGTACAGCTAAAGAAGAGCAACCCAGATGTCTTGAAAGAGTTGAGGGCTCGAAGATAACTTATCACAAACATCAGAGAAAGACAGTCATAATTTTTTCGTTCAGGTTATGAGAAGAAGAAATTGGAACATGTTATGATCACTGGAAAGACCAGTATAAAGAGAGATATAGGAAAACAAAGTGAGAAGATATCTGACAGCCTTTTGGCATGGCATGGAGGGGGTGTCAACAGGAAGTGACATGTGCAGCTGCGGATCGTAGATTTTGGAAAGTTATGATCACCCATGCGTCAGCAAGGCAATTGATGGTGATGTTTCACGAATACTTTCATCCCTCCCTTATTAAAAACTAGAAGATTGCTGAGACACCAATACCACTGAGGCTGTGAGAAATCCCAGTTCAGTTCACATTTTGTCAACAATTCAGTGTTTTTCTGTATATGTCCTTAAGAGGCTGGTTGGCTTGTTGTGTTATTATTTACAGTTGGGTTGTGATATCTGTGCCTTTCAGCCCAAAATATCCCATTTAAACAAACCCATAATTTGTTGTCTTGTTAAGAGGGCAATGGGTCTATTCTTTATTCCCCAAACTGAGGTCCTGAAACCCACTCAGAGAATCCAGTGTTCTAGTTTTGACATTTTGCAAGGGCCTGTCATTATAGGGCACTTTCTGATTTTTAATTGCTATAGGATTTCTAATAAAACTATGTATGCTTCATCACTGCAATTTTAGATAGGATAACCAGCTTTCTTTGTTGTTGACTCTATCCTTTTTTTTTTTCTGAAGAAACTATATTAAAAGACCAAATAAATTACAAATAATAATTTGTAGCATGTAAATATCCACCTCTCTAGAAATGAGGCTGATAGATGAAATCACTGAAAAGGATGCTGTAATAGTTTCTACAGACAGATTTATGTAGCAAGATTAGGACAAATTTAGACAGGTTTTAAAGCTAGAAAGAGAGGCAAGATCATTACACAAAACATTTTAGCCTGACATTTAGTAAAAGAATTTAAGTATTAGGAAAAAAAAAAACAGTACGCACGCGAGGGTGGATCATCAAGATATGGACACACAGCAATCTGAGAATTTACAACTAAGACAAGAAACAGGGTGTTGGAGGTCCTTTGGAGTAAACATACATTACTGAGACTGACTGATTGTTCTAACAACAGAAAAGACAGCATTTTTCTCTAAAATAATAACAAAATATCCAACAATACATTACTTATATTGAACATGTTGTACCTGGGCAATCATTTCTAATGCTGTCCTGAACTCTCCTCCCAGTGTTGATGTGACAAGCTGAGAGTGCAGCAGTTCACTTATCTCTTCAACAATCTGCTCCCGCTGGAGACTTGTAATGTCATTCCATGTAATGCTGTAAATTTGAAGAAAATAAAAACAGGTTAATTTAATTTTTAATAAAAGGCAAAAACTGATGTTTTTGGTATGAACAATCGTGAACATTTAAATGAAATTAGGCTAAATGAAGAAACATGCTTTTGCATGTGGACCACAGAAAGGTTGTATTTGTCTAGAGAGCCAAAGACTTTAAAAAGTTACAAACAGCTACACTTTGACCTTCTACCAAAAATAAAAGTTTTCATCTTTCATCTGTAAAAGATCAGACTCATAAGCCGGCTAAACAGTTTTACAGATCCAAAACACAGTGTACAATTAAAGAGATATACACAATGAAGTACTAACTTTTGGTTTGAAGGATCCTGTTGTTCAATGACTGCTCTTTCTTGTCTCTGGGGGTTAACTGTTCTTGGAATTCCTTCAGATCCTGGCAATGCTGTATCTGCAGCTCGTTCTGATGAAAAGTTTATCTCTTCTACTTCTTCAGCATCACTTTCAATGTCTGGTAATAAAAATATTTTTTGCAGATATCTTAGATAATATTAACATTACAGCAACACACACTTTACCATGTGAAGCATTTCATGGAAACAGAAACATAAGTTCTGAAGATACTAGGAATGAAAAGAGAGTTGCTAAGACACATACAAAAAATAAAAATGAAATATTTAGGTTCCATTAAAAGACATAACACTCTTTTAATTCTTTCAGTCCCAAACAACATTAGTTATGCTTGTCCTATACAATGCAGTTTTCACTTTAAACAAATATATGACTGAGTCTGTAGCAGTTCAAATAATAACAATATGAAACAGAAGTGGTTAAAGTAACAAATGTGGTGGAGGTGGTTAATGTAACACATGGATGCATAACGAGGAGTTAATAAACCATACTGTGCTAAGAGTAGCTGATAAACACATCATGCTTTCACTGGTACTAAATTAGTCCAAGTGGAAAGGGGGGGGGGGGGGCTGAGTGGTCTTGAGGCATGGCATTCGCCTCAAGTGCTGGGGGTCCCAAGTTCCATAGTTCAGGCTTTGGTGAAGGCTGGGATTTTTTCACGCGGGCTTTTAGTAATTTCTCCAGGTCTCTGGGTAGTAAGATCTGATGCCCATGTGTATTACTGCATGTAAAAAATCCCTTGGCAGTTGGACATCGAAAAGAGTAGCCTAACAGCCCTGCCTAGGCAAAATTTTGAGTTAAAAATCTCTCCATAGTATTACAGGATCCTCGCCGGTGCTACGGAGTTTGTGCACTGCCCTGAGATTCTTCTGACTCAGGCTTGAGTTAGAAGTAGAAAGAAGCATTAATGGTTACTACCCTTGTGCCTTGATGTTGATCTGTTGTATAAACTAAAATAAACTAGTCTTAAAAAAACCTGGACTGGAGGTAAAAGTCAAAGGCAAGACAATAGGAAAACAATATAAGAGAGATGACGCCCAGGTTGTTAGCGTAGTTGGCTAAACCTGACTTCATGACGACTCGGTGACGAACTCCTTGTGGTCTGGGTTCACACCTGGGGGTAGGCAGAAATGCCACATTTCTCTCTGATTTACGGTATTTATCAAGGAACCATCCTGAAGGGTTGCTATATCCATAGTACCGAACCAAAGGGTTTAAAAACTCATGGTTTCTGGATATTTAAAAAAAATAAAATAAAAGAGGGGACAATATCAAGAGATGGATGAACAATAGTCTAAGAGTAAAACAAAGACAAGTGACAGGGTGTGTTGGAGATTGACTGTAGCCAGCCTTCATAGTGGAGGTGGCACCTGACTGATTGATTGATTATCATGTACTTTTCCTCTAGTAAATTATCTTATAAGTGAGAATGTAAGTAATGCCATGTCATTACAAACATGTTTATCTCATCTCATTATAATTACCTTGTTCATAGGAGCTTCTGGCACTTGAAAAGCTGTCATTAGACTCAGTACTGATTTGTCTCATAAGCTGAGGTCTAATCTCTGGTGTCTGTGTGCCATCAGGGACTGTGAAGGTACAACAACAATAAATCAGATTCTTAACCCTCTGGAGACGCAGCTTTTTTGGAGTTTCAGTACCAAAAAGATGAAGCCTTCGGGAGGGAAATTCTCATAGTTTATACATAAAAAATAATAATAAATAAAGCATTTAACATATACAAAACTTTACATATATTTGTGTAGGAAATTTAATGAGCTAACAGAATATTTATGAATCAAACTGAAATCTCAACATTTATTCAAATTAAGCATAATTTGCATAATTTATGCAAACATTTTTTTTTTAAACTTGGGAACAAACATGAAAAAAAAAACTAATAATTGTGGGTGAAATTTTTGATGGATGAAGCTTGAATAAGTCCTAGCACTTGTGCTTTTGGAAGTAAGGCCCTTCAGACATTTTTGGCACATAGTTCTAATCTTTCTCGAAAGCTGTCAATGAACAGCCCACAAGTTCAAGAAATGCAAGAAGCAATCTGATTGGCTGGTACGAAAACCTGCCAGCCAATCTCAAGGCCTGTATTACATAGGGCTGACCGATTGACCCAGTCATCATTTTGGCTACTATGTGTTGTGCCGATATTTCGGCTGCGTTGACTCCAAAGGGTTAAAAAAAACATATAATGAAGCATAAAAATGAATCTTTTTTCACTGAAATGCATAAACTACACTGTTGAGTTTCATGAAATTTCAGCAAAAAAGGATTAATTTTTGCACTTTATTTTATATACAAGGGAGCTGAGTGGTTGTAGAAAATGATGGAAAGATAATGTCTAGACAGACCTAAAAACACTTGGTATCACTAACTGGAAAGAGAAGACCAACCAGAGAGATGAATGGAAGCAGGTGATATCTGCAGCAGTGAAAATCAAGGGCTCGGAATGCTGAAGAAGAAGAAGATTATTGATTTAACTCTGTAGTAATGTACTTGATGAAAACAATTAAATATGTTGGGCAATAAAGTGTGCAATGTATTGTTTGTGTTCGCATTATTCAAATTTATTAATAACATTATTTTGTAAATCAGATTGTATTAAATGTTTCCTGTTTACGATAATGATGTTCCCATGTTTCCCTTTTTTATCACTTTCTGGTCAGTAACTCAGAAAAAATCCTGGTCACTGTTTAGCAACTGAATAGAGGAATTTCAAAACCTGATTCTAAATTAGTCTAAATAGTCATTTTACCTTTGTGACCTCTTCTTCTTCTTATTCAACATTCTTAACCCTTGCAAGGTAATTGCTGTAGATATCATCCATCTCCATTATTTGATTGGCCTCCCCTTTCCAACTGATGATGCTTAATGTTTGTATTCTGCATGTATATTATCTCTCTGCCATCTTCTCAGTCTGCCTTTTGGTCTACACCCATTCAGCTCTTTTGTGTATGCAATCTCTCTATATGCCCCAACCATCGCAGTCTATTAACCCTCAAGATGCCTACACATGTGGATTCTGGGGTCCCATTTGGATGAAAAAAACAATACCCCTTTCCCAACCAACAAGCATGTCATAAAAGATGACTGATTAGGGTCTCAGTGCATTTGCCCGAGAGGTGAGGAACCAACATTTACAGACAGTTAAGTCAGGTCTGTAAAACAGTTGTTTGCGAGAGGTGAGAAACCAACATTTACAGACAGTTAAGTCATTTCTGTAAAACAGATGTTTGCGAGAGGTGAGGAATCAACATTTACAGACAGTTAAGTCATATCTGTAAAACAGATGTTTGCGAGAGGTGAGGAACCAACATTTACAGACTGTTAAGTCATATCTGTAAAACAGATGTTTGCGAGAGGTGAGGAACCAACATTTAGACAGTTAAGTCATATCTGTAAAACAGATGTTTGCCCGAGAAGTGAGGAATCAACATTTACAGACAGTTAAGTCAGATCTGTGAAACAGATGTTTGCGCTAGAGGTGAGGAACCAACATTTACAGACAGTTAAGTCAGGCCTGTAAAACAGATGTGCAGGCAAAACTCAAGTTCTGAAACAAGACCAAAATCTCAAAGTGGAAGAACAACTAGAACATTCTGCCGGACTTTACACCATGTGCATGTAAAGACGAAGAAGAAGAGGAAGAAGAAAAATCCTCATCATATCAGTGATTAGTGGTGAGTTAAACAAATTATGGATTTTGTTGTTTCTTCTCACTCCCCATTCCCCTCTATTTGCATATTTGATGGGTCCAAAAAATTTTCATGAAGCTGTCCTCAAAAGTCTGTTGAGCTTTTATGACTGTTCTTCTAAATGCTACTTTAACTTGTTAAATATGTATCACTTTTTGGGTCATGAATGTAGTGGAAGTCACGAATGTAGTGGAATTGATAAAATTATAGTAAGCAGCAGGAAGGCCAGCATTTCAACAGCATTAAAGATATTTTTATGGTCTATATCAGGTCCATTATAGAATAACCATACAAATGTTTACTGATGCCTTGTTGATGCAGATTTGAGTTTAACTCTATCGGTACGAAGGAACACAACATGTTTTGAATTATAACAAATTTAACTGAACTCTGGTACCAAAAGAGTTAATGACTTTTAGGGGAATTAGAATAATGTCCAAGCTAATAGTGACAGTGTGGAGAAGAAACGACCAGAGGTGGTTGAAAAGACTATCTTCTACAACTTTCAGTCTGATAATAATATCATTTAATTAATTCCACTGCTACATTCTTGATAAAAAGGTGTCTTCGGTTTCCTGAAAGAAAGATAAAACACTTTATCTTAGCAACACCACTTGATAATATCAATAATGCCTAAATGGTAACATACCAGGTGTATCTGTTAATGTCCGTGTTAGAGAACTGCTAGATGTTCCAGAAGAAGCCACTGCACGAGGAAAACCGCGGTTATATCCTGCAGTAATATTCACTGGTGGCTGACTTGTCAAACTTCCACGGATGATGTTCTCCAGATGTCGTCTAAAAGCTGCTGACTGAAGTGCTGACGACACTGGTCGCAATTCCACAACAGCCTGCACCTGTAATATGAAACAAAAGTTGAGCAAGACTACAACTTCACAGTGTTTACTTTATTCTGTGTAACTAAATATTTAAGCAATAAATGACCAGAAGAATATTTCAAGAATGTAAACCTGTAAAGGAATGTGGAGGGCAAAAGAAAACTATGACTTCATACCAGTAGCTCAACAATTATGACAGCTTTTATGACATGTATTAAGCTGTCCTTTAGCAAAATATTAATAATTCAAGTTGTTTGCTGGAAATCTGAAAAAATATGGACAGATGGTTAGCACAATGTGAATACCACTATTATCTGTTTTAAAAAATCTGCTGAAATGCATGCAGTCTTAAAAAGCCAAAAGTATCAGACAAATTTATATTATCTGAAGACAGTCTTACATCACCCCAAATATAACTATCAAGGGTTAACAGGATATTTATTATATAATTAATAATTATTATGAAAACTACTAGCTTAAGTCAAAAGTGGTGAAGCCAGGCAACGACATTATCCACGAAGCCGAAATAAGAATAATAAACCAATGCAGAACTAGCAGCATCAGCTGCTTAACGCTGGGGAGGTCCGAGCAATTATGGACTGGGGTGGTTCAAAAGTAAAGGACCCTTTTTTTCATGACTTTGGGTCAGGTGTATTGAGCATATAGGGCTAGACCTATATTTTTATAGGTTGGAGTAGTCAGGCACCTCGGTGGGTTATGTATTCAACATCATACCGGTCGCCTTTACTTCCCGGAGCATTAGCTGGTACCCATTTAAGCTTAGGTCGAACTGGGAGCCAAGATCATTTCTGAAAAAAAAATCTGGCTCAGTCAGAACCTAAAACCACACCTTCAGTTCTGCAGGGATGTTTTTAGCCACTAAACCATGGTGACTCCCGTGCAGTTCTGACGAGGTTGGTACTTTCATACAGCAATGATGTAATGACAAAGTGTGTGTATTTTTTGGGAGGGTGGAGGGGGTTCACAGATTGTTAGTATTTGACAATTTTTTTTTAATGTGCTACGTGTTACCTTTCAGTTTGTTTTGGTACCACTTCAACAAATAATAGTTTGGTACTAACTATGCCTCCCCCCCCCCCCCCCCCCAATGTCGCTTCCCGTGGTTTAATGTGCAATGGGGATAGACTGTCTACTGATAAACCATTAAACTGAAATAACATAAACATATAAGGTCTAATATCTCTATAAACAAACCTCAACGACAACTGCCTCGGGTCGATGTTTCTCCACACTGTCAACATTGGCAGGGATGTTCATCTCCTTCCCTGATGATTCCCCTGATGTCGTTGAAAAATCCTTAACCCCCACCCCATGTTTCTCCATAAACTGTTGGAGGCGTTCACGATTGCTCTGGCCTGTAACTGGTCTTCTCCCATGCTCTATGTTTCTTAGCTCATACATTAAATCAGTTTTCGCGCGTTCAAGAAAACGATCCATGTCTGCGATATTATCAGTCTCATGTGTTTCTTCTGTGACAAAAGGAATAGAAGAGCTGACTGAGTCTGTAACGGTATTTGATGCGGATGTAGCCATGGCTTCACTCTTCATCAATCTATCGACACGATTGTTACAACACTAATCGACGCTGCAGTCACTGCATGAAATAAAGCTGCTGGTATTATAAGCCACTTAGACATTCAGTGTACGAATAAGTTTCTAAATTTAAGCAATTCGTCACTTTCCTGGACCTTTTTACCTGTTTCCTGGAAAAACACAATCCCGGCTGTCTGATTGGGCGGTATTTTTGGTTATATTACTCATTAGGTTGCCTGCTGTCCGGTTAGCTATCTCTCCCGGTTGCTATCTGCAGGATCTGACCGCGCCCCCAAGCTCAATAGTTGCATCCTAGAAAAAAAAAAAACAAGGTGTTTACCAGATACCCTGTTAAACCTGAAAAAAATTTAAAACTGGGACAGGCGTAACGGCTACACGAAGTTGAACCCTGATGAGTTCTGCGCGGGTAGTATCTCATAATCTGTGTGGTTAAAAAAAAAATGACCCTTTTAACGTCATTAGTGTATCGGACGTATGATGCTAGACTAAAATGTGTGTTGAGTAATCGGCATCCGATGTGCGTTGTTACTCGACATAAGGCATGTCGCCTTTACTTCCCAGGACTTTAGCTGGTATCCATTCTAGGATAGGTAGACCTGGGAATTGAACTTTTTTTTTTTTTTTACGAAGAAGAAATTTTACCCCATACGGATTTGAACTCACAACCTTCAGGCGGTTCTGCGTTAGTTGCAGATTGTTTTTGTCTATGGATTGATCCGACACTATTAATGCTCTTCTGGTAATCTGGTAATCTTTGTTTCAACTTCATAGCAAACGGGTACCCCATAGTTGCTCCGCTCCTGTGCCATCTAAAAACACACACAATGTTTATCACAGTAACTTGTGGAAAGATTGACAGACTGCTGTCTCAGCATGTCTAGCATACACACGCATTAAAAGCATACGGTAGCCATCGGAAGTGCTAACACAAACAGTCCGACATTAGAAATGCAGTTCATCATGTATGGTAGCACTAGCAGAAGTCTGTTTATTCTCTGCATTGCTAATGCAACTCTTCATCTGACTTCTTTCGAGCAGTCGCCACTGTTGTTTACTAAAGAGCCCAAGTATTTGAAATCTGTTACATTTTCTATTGTAATAAGTGGTTGGTGTACTGAATTTACTGAGGACATAATTTGTGTTTTTATTTTTTTTTTTTTTATTTAGAAAAAGATTCACTTCTTCCTGTGCTTTTTTGGCGGCCAGAATTAATTTGTCTGAGCCTTGTACACTGTTGGAAAGAAGAACAGTGTCGTCTGCATATCTGAGTTCTCTGGGACAGGATTACCTCCAGTTTTTAGTTTATCAAAACTCTCACACGCCTCATCGCTAATTGCGTTTCTCATAACATTTTCAGCATACACGTTAAAGAGGGAGGGAGAAAGAATGCAGCCCTGCCTCACTCCTTTCTGCACTTCAAACCATTCTGATGTTTCACCGGCTACTCTGACCGCTGCTTGTTGGTCCCGGTAAAGAGATTTCATTAAGTGCACCAGATGTTTTAGAAATCCCATGCCTCTCATTATGTGCCACAGTGCCTATGTGAACAATTTCCCGCCATCATTCCAGACACCCTACACATTGTATTCAATGATAGCACATACGCTCTAACATGACTGGCCCTGTTCTAAGTTAGGGTAAACCCGGACATTGCATAATTATTAACATTGGCTGTTTATTATTTTTTGTTGAGTGTTGATCTAAAAAAATGCCATCACAACATTCGAGACATTCACATAAGCACTTTATTATTCTATCTGGTTACGTGTCCCCCCCCCCCCCCCCCCCACCCCCCCCCCCCGCTCATTTTTCCTCATGTTACGACGCATATACCTATGGACATACACGGAGTACGGTAGAAAATTAATAAACCAACTAATAATAACTCATGGCTCTTGACAGTTAACCTACTGATGTCCCCGAATAACCCATTAACAAAGGTCGCTTCAAGCAATTACATGTATTTATTGACCTATTGCGCACGCACACACACACACACACACACACACCACACACACACACACACACACACACACACACACACACACACACACACACGCACGCACACGCACACGCACACACACACACACACACACAATGAAGCTAAGCTGTTAGAGTGAGTTCCCCTCCTGTTTCTAGCAGACGATGTAGATTGTGTCCGTTGATGGGCGACATTCCCTGTTGGAAGCAGTTTTCAATAAACGCTCTTTAACAAAGCCAATGGATCAGTCTATTGATGATTTGTTTTCTGTTATTCTTCATTCCGAAAAAGTTGCACTAGACGAAAAGCAGAAATGCAGAGAAGGTAATGCTACAGTATATTGAAATATTTGAATAACTGAGTTGTTGACAGACTCTTAACACTGGTTTGATTTACTCATCACCATCCGAGAGAGAGAATCATTCGCTTTGTAGCAGGACCGTTACACTCACCAGTGTGGGACGCATTTTTTTTTGTTGTTGTTGTTTAAAAGCCCTACCTCGGCTGTTACCACTGACCCTAATATAGCCCAGCCTATGGGTTGAACGGGGTTTCTCACCTGTCCTCGGGTGATCCTCGTCCGAATAGTGGCACTGTTTCATCAGGGCCGCCTAAAAATTCGGCATATTTATGTAACAAGAAAGGGTGGCTGAATAATTAACATCTCGAGAACTTCGTGTTTGTGTGAAAAAACTTGCACTAGCATCAAAAATAATTGTGTGTACTGTTGCGCACGTAAAAAATAACCTTGACATTTATAAATTGAAAAGAGGGCTCTCCTTTGAATCAACCCCTAAAATGGCGGCATGCCACATTCTAGCCATAAAATATCCTAAAATATTCGAACGACGGTGTTGGCGTATATCTAAAGTACGGACTTTCTGCCAAGAAACAAATCGCGGCAAAACTAGGATTACTTGACAATATGAACATTGCACACGGTAGTAGTAGCAGACGATAAATACCGACAGGTTTCTGCAGACGATACAAATGCTCTGACAGGGTCTCGGCGATACGTTACTCACGAGTACAGTAATTGTAGGAAGTTTCAGGAGATGCGGTAGCTGCTGCTCGTGAGTCCCAGCCATCTAGTTTAGTCCTCATCTGTGCCGCACTTAGCGGCACAGGGGATACGCTCAGCGGTGAGGCACACTCGCAGAAGCAGGTCAGCAAGTAACGTATCGCCGAGACCCTGTCAGAGCATTTGTTTCGTTATCCGGAGCCGGCACATATATTTTTAATAGAACTGACCCCCATTATGATATTTTTGGATATTTTATGGCAAGAAATTTGCCAATTTAGCTCTCTTTCGAACGCCATCATATTAAAGCCGCCATTTTGGGGGTTGATTCAAAGAAGAGCCGAAAAGAGTAGCCCTATGGCGCTGCCGGGCAAAAATGTGGAGTTTAAAATCTACCCAAAGTATGTATTTCAGGATCCTCGCCAGTGCCACGAAGTTCGTGCACTGCGCTGAGATTTTTTGGGACTCAGGCTTAAGTTAGAAATAGAATGGAGCACTTTTGGGTTACTACCCTTGTGTAATAATATTGATCCGTTGTTCAACCTTCCACTGTTTTGGTGTGCCGAAGGTGTAAAAAGTTTGAGAAACACTGCTTTACCTAACGTTGCGCCCATCACAGCAGGCCTGAAAGAAATGCAGTCCCTTGCCAGCTCTCCAGTCGCATGATGCACTTTCCTGCTCAATGTATCTATTATATTATGTGCCCATCTTTGTTCTAATCAGCCCCTGTCACTCTTATTCAGTTTGCTGCCCTCAGATCCTGTCCTTTCCAAACCACCTTGGTGTTTGATGTGGCCAAGGTGTTTCAGCTGCAAGAGAAGATGCTTTTTTTTTACAAACCAGCTGTCCTTGGTGTTCAGATCTGTTACTGTAGGCATAGCTATTTGAACACATAAACCCCACTATCACATTGTGGTAAGGATACATAAAACTTGATTCAAAAGCACAGATATTGCGGCCCAACTGTAAACCACAACACAGCATATCAACAATTTTTTACAGGCAAGCTAGATGAGGCAGAAAAAACATACTATGTTTGTTGAGTAATTTGGTCACTGCTCCAGCTCACTTTTCCTCATTTTTTTTTTTCAAGAATAACTGTTGTGATTATGTCTACACACTCAGTTTTTTCTAAGCACTTTTTTTTTCAAATGTCTCTTCTAATGTGATTTGTTTAAAAAAAATTACTAGCGTAGAACTTGAAACTGCAGTGAAACCTCATTCACACAAGTTCTAAAGGGTAGGAAATCAAGCTCCTGTTTAAATAAACTCGTGCTAGCTGGGGACTAATAATAATGCTACAGCCTGGACTGGGATCCAAATTTTGTTTGTGTAAACTGAGTGTTCTTCTTATCAGTTTCATGGAGCCTTTTTCTATAGTTCTGCCAGATAGGAATATTTAATTAACCTTATGTTTTACAATATTGAAAGCTGGGAAGGCTAACCCGATCAGCAAATGCCTGCAGAAGTTGGACATATCGGCTAAGAGGTGCAAATATCCCAGCCATGCTGTAAACGGGCACAACGAATTTATATCAGATAAACACAGAAGAAGAAATAATGAAACAGTTGAAAAATCGTTTTTCAGCAGTAAGATAACACTAATTGTTTTTGTTTTTGTGTCTGTTAAAGTAAAGGATAAAATTGAAAGTTTCCGCCTGCGTCTGCAAAAGCAAACGGAAGCAAGGAGAGAATGTACTGAAAAAATAGAAAGGCTGGTATGTCACACTGTTTCTGTAATGTCCTTTGCAACATCAAGTAGGAAACTTTATTTGTTATAAAAACTAATATGCTACTTCCTATCTTCTGTTTTTTTCTTCTTAGCATTCACCAGCTGTAAACTATTTACCTGTGTGAGAGTTTTATTTCTGGTTAGACCCAGTTGTACATGTTTTGGGACCATTTAAAGCACTCATGGCATAGAAGACCTGATATCGCTGGCCGCTAACTTCAAGGAGTAAAATACGACTCGGTACGCCTGAAACCCCTGCGATATAGTAGAGGTGCTACATCAGATCGAGGCATCAGTGAGAAGGCAGGTCAGTCTCATTGTTGTGTCTCTTATCGTGATATGTACCGTAATTTTTACTAATCAGAAAGCACATATCTAAACTAGAGCTGTACCGAATAGTGATTTTCACTATTCGACCAAATACGAATAGAAGGACCAACTATTTGGCCGAATACGAATACGAAAACTAATAGTTTATCATCATCATAAGGTGCCTTGCCTACTGGCATGGGCGAATATGCCTCGCCACAATCTGCGATCTCCTGCAGCATGTATTAGCTCGTGTGCTGACATACCTCCATGCCATGCAACAAGACTGTCAATAATCTTTTCTCGTTGTCTTCCTCTATCCCTCCTTCCACAGATCTTTCCAGTGGTCACCACATGTTCCATTTTCCCTCTTCTCATAACATGGCTGAAAAATGATGACTGTCTTCTTCTGATGTCTGTGATTAGTTGTCTTTGGGCTCCCGCAACTTTCAAAACCTCTTGGTTGCTTTTTTTGACTGTCCAGGGTATTTTAAGCATTGTTTTATAAAACCACATCTCTTAGGCCTCAAGAAATTGTTGGGCCTGCCTACCGATTGTCCAGGACTTACAACGCATTGCCTTTAAATATAAGTGCTTACTTGACGAGGCTAACAGTTACTATTGTACAAACCACATTTTCCACTTTAGAATTTCAGCCAAAGTGTAATCACAACCTTTCTTATCCGCTGCACCTTCACAAATACAGATTTTTTAGCACGCTGCGATTGGCATTTTATGCAGAATGATACACTTTGAGTGTGAAACAAGGAGAAAAACTCTTTTCGACAGTGGCGAGGAAAGACAATTTAAATTTTAACTTTTAAGTATCTTCATGCCTTCTTTAATAATGTCACAATTTGTAGCTGACTTTTCTTGATTTTTGCCGCGGCACCCTTGGCATACGCCTCTGTTTGAGAACCTTGGTCGAGTCAGCAGGCAAAGACTTTACCAGCTGCTGTACCTTGCAACCGGGTCACCGTTTCCCCTGCTTCGACAGACTTAGGCAACCGCAACTATAGTGTTAATGAGAGAGTCATTTCAGTCCATCGCAGTGTATGCAAAACAGGTGTAAGGTAACTACTATTCCTGTTCGGCCTGACCGCAAGTATTCAGCCGAATACTGAATAGTTAATAAGTCCACTATTCAGCCCTGAAGCGAATACAAAGCGAATATTCAGTACAGCCTTAATCTAAACCAAATTATTTTGTACCGGCATCCCTTTTGAAGTACACATAGACACACCTACACATGCATGTGCACATGCATATATGCACGCACACAAACAATGTATTATTCTTTATAAATTTCTTCTAAGGCAGATGGAGTCTTTCATTCAACTTTGGGGATGAAGCTAATGAAATGTAAGGAAGAGTTTCTTACCAAGCAACTGATCCTGATAGAAGATGAATTAAAATTTAACACAGAAAAGATGGTATGTTTATGTTTATGTTTTTGTTTTTGTTTTTCCAGCAGTATATTCTATGGCAGGGCTATTCAACTAAGCAGTTTCACTGGCCAAAAGCCCCAGCCCCAGCATAGAAAGACCATAAATGCGATACAACTAGCAGTGATCTGCGGTCCACTTGCTAGGCTTTGGCGGGCCAGATTTGGCCCGCTGGCCACCAGTTGAATAGCCCTGGTCTATGGAGAGAGCTGCCTTGGTGTAGCTGCTAGAGGCTTGCCTGCAGATCGGTAGGTCATGGGTTCAGGTCCTGACAGAGCTGGACTTTTCTCAAAAATAACCTTGTCTCTCAGGTCATCCCAGCCTTGAGTGGGTACCAGGTACAGTCCTGGGAAGTCAAGGCTGACCACATCATCCACCCAGTTATGATTTGTCTATAAAATATAGGTTGAGCTCTATATGACCAGTTGAGTTGAGTTGAGTCATGAATTGACATTCCCATGAGTGCTTTGTCCTCATCTTCAGCAGCCAATACAGAGTCCCAATACAGATAGTACCGGTCACAATCTGGTTATATATCAGTTTTGCCTTTTCTCTGAGTGTAGTGAGCCGGCCAGACCCTCTGGTCACACGCAAGTGCCTCATTCTCCCTAAGCCATGATAATCTTGTTTCTCTACTGATTCTGATGCTTGTTTCCAAAGGGCCTTGACCACATCTGCCTTGTCATGCATCAATTCACCACCCAGGGGTACAGATCCAGCCAGTCTGTCTGCCTGTTAGTTACCCACTACGCAGGCATAGCCTGGAGAAAAGATCCAAAGTATGCTCACTACCTTGATCTTCCCAGTGAAACTTGCCACTCTGCTCAAAGCATCCCTGTCTTCACCTTTCTCAGCATGCCTTCACAGTCTGTTACTATTATGACATGTGTATGCATCTTGTTCTCTAGCCACCGGAGAGCTGCATTTACCACCTACACCTCCATTCTCATGCTAGATGTTTTGATGTTGTATGCTAGGCTGTTTTGCACTAAAGATTTTCCATTGGCGTTCGTTACGAACCTCCAGGCACATCTCTTTCCTCTCACCACCAAACCATCTGTATAAAAAATCAGATCACCTGGGCGTGAATTGTCGTGAATCAGCTGTTGGACTTTCACCACAGTAGCACCCGCTGGCCACTCTCTCCACTCCCGACCTAATGTGATCATAACCATACACAAGTCAGACTTTTCCTCTGGTACGCTGACCCACTCCTCTCCTTGCCCAATGTTCTCCAGCATGCATACTTGTCTTATTGTGTCTTCTGCTAGAGCCATCTACGATTTCCCCCTTTTCAGCCTCTAACCTTACCTGCAGCCAAAGCTTCATACAGAGGGTGTTCTTTGTCTGCAGCTACTCTGAGGTATGACTTAGCCTGCAGTACCTTAAGCCTATCTGCAATAGTTGGCAATGCAAGGATGTATCGCATGCACACAATCTATATGCCCGATATGCCTGAAGGTGTGGAAAAGGGTTGTATACTTTTTTACCCTTTATAGTCTACAGCAGCCGCTGTAGTGAAGATTCTATAAATTTTTTTTTTTTTTTTAAAATGAGCCGCAGTGCTGAAGAGGCTAGACATTTCTTGTTTTTTAAATGAGCCGCAGTAGCGAAGAGGCTAGACATTTCTTGTTTTTAAATGAACCGCAGTAGTGAAGAGGCTAGACATTTTTGTTTTTTAAATGAACCGCAGTAGTGAAGATGCTAGGCATTTTTGTTTTTTAAATGAACCGCAGTAGTGAAGAGGCTAGACATTTTTGTTTTTTAAATGAGCCGCAGTAGTGAAGATGCTAGACATTTTTGTTTTTTAAATGAACCGCAGTAGTGAAGAGGCTAGACATTTCTTGTTTTTAAATGAACCGCAGTAGTGAAGAGGCTAGACATTTTTGTTTTTTAAATGAACCGCAGTAGTGAAGATGCTAGGCATTTTTGTTTTTTAAATGAACCGCAGTAGTGAAGAGGCTAGACATTTCTTGTTTTTTAAATGAGCCGCAGTAGCGAAGAGGCTAGACATTTCTTGTTTTTAAATGAACCGCAGTAGTGAAGAGGCTAGACATTTTTGTTTTTTAAATGAACCGCAGTAGTGAAGATGCTAGGCATTTTTGTTTTTTAAATGAACCGCAGTAGTGAAGAGGCTAGGCATTTTTGTTTTTTAAATGAACCGCAGTAGTGAAGAGGCTAGACATTTCTTGTTTTTTAAATGAGCAGCAGTAGTGAAGAGGCTAGACATTTTTTGTTTTTTAAATGAGCAGCAGTAGTGAAGAGGCTAGACATTTTTTGTTTTTTAAATGAGTAGCAGTAGTGAAGAGGCTAGACATTTTTTGTTTTTTAAATGAACCGCAGTAGTGAAGAGGCTAGGCATTTTTGTTTTTTAAATGAACCGCAGTAGTGAAGAGGCTAGACATTTCTTGTTTTTTAAATGAGCCGCAGTAGTGAAGAGGCTAGACATTTTTTGTTTTTTAAATGAGCAGCAGTAGTTAAGAGGCTAGAAATTTTTTGTTTTTTAAATGAGCCGCAGTAGTGAAGAGGCTAGACATTTTTTTGTTATTTAAATGACTAAGGCTCTCATGTCGATAAATCCTAAAATCGGGACCATGTAAAGTCCTGGGAAGTAAAGATGGCCGGCATGATGTTAACCGCATTACCCACCAAATGCTGGTTGGTCTATAAAAATATGAGTCCATCATCAAATCCCCGATGTGCCATTGGTGTGAGAAGGTTGTTTATTTTTACTTGACTTAATACAGTTTATAGAAAAATCCAGGTCATTGAGGCTGTAGTGCCAGACATGTGAGAGGCCAGACAGTACCTGCATAAAATAAACATTACTATTAAGAATAACTTATACTTCATGATCACCAGCTGTAAACTCTGTCAGAAAGTTCTAGTAGTTTGTCCATTTCTGGACTATATCTTGTTTCAGAATTTGCGTGCACATTGGTTTTAAAGATCTGGCTTATTTGTAAGCAGACTATTGGTTCTTCACTTCTCAGGCAGAGTCACTCCGACTTAGAAAGAAACATCCCTGATTAACTGAATTTAATGGCATGCTTGCTAGGGAGCAGTGGGTCTGTTATTGTTCTACCCAAAATGCGGTCCTTGAACCTACACACAGACAACTGTGAATATAGTATCTTCTGTATGTTACTTAAACAGATTTGAATATGGTGGTAAATTTCCCTTGTGTGTACTCATTGTATTTTCTGAGTCCTACATCTACTAAAACATCACATTTTGCTCCCTTTTTGGCTGCTATGTCAGCTTTTTCATTGCCTATTACACCTCTGTGTGCTGGTACCCATGCAATGGTGACTTGGCATCCTTTATTCTTGAGCTGAGTTGTTAGATTTAGGATTGTCTCTTTAATATCTGGTCTACTGCTAGTTTTTCTATCCATAAAAGGAACTTCATTATTTATGCCTAAAACAATTTCAAAACTTATATGCATTCAAGCAGTTTCAGTATCTATCCATGATTGTTTGGTTGTATATCCTTTATAGGACTTTGCAGAACCAATCCCAGCATTTATTGGGGCTGTTTTTGATTTCATTAGGAAGTAGTGATTGTGCTCAGTAGTTTGCCATTTCTGCCTGAATGGTTGGCTCCTGATACCACTGTCTAAGCTAAGACAAAGAGGTTTGCTGTCAAATTGACCACACCTTTGATCCCACCTGGCGCCTTGACATACAAAGCATATTCACAACACCTAAGCCACAGATGCTGAATTGTTAAATATATAATATGAAAACAATTTCAATATTTGTGACTAAAAGCAAACAAATGTAGCATAAAGTAATTCTAAACCTTTCTGGCACTCTGTTAACTGTAATATTTTAATAATAACATTCTGTTGTAATGTTTCCCCAGGAAAGTATTCACAGTTCTCATGAAGAATCATCAAAAGCTTTTATGATATTAGTACACCAGTTTTCAAGTGACTACAGCATTTCTAGCAACAGGCGAGAAATCAGAGATGCAGAAACCAAAATGGCTATAAAAACATTACGTGCTCTAGTGGAGTCTCTATCTCATGGTGACTACGGTTCCTCAATTCTTTTAGCTAGATGTAATCAAGACCCTTTGGGAGCAAGTGAACAATGTTCGAATATATTATTATGGTGTGAAGAGAATGATGTGGTGGGGAATGACCAGGGAATCTGGCTAACACTCAGAGGAAAGACGAGGCAGATAGATAATTAAACCTGCAACTGGTACCATCAGAATTTTAACTATTTTCCAGCTGCTGAAGATGAGGATGAAGCATGTACAAGAATGTCCCAAATGCTGTGATGTTGTTTCTTGACTCAACTCAGTTATTCTCTCAGCAAAACAAAAAAAAATTATTTTTAAGATGATCTGTAGATTAAAAACCAACACATAGACATTATAAAGTATATATTTTAATTATGACCTATCTATTATTACATATTTGGAATAAAGAATAACAGAAAAGTTTATCTTCTTAGCATTCTGCCCCCATATTCTTAATGCTCTCAAGGCAGCATGTGTAGATGATCCAGATGACTGTGAATTTGCAGCCTTAACAAAACTAAAAAGAACTTCATATTAAATGAGGTCTTACCCGACATGGACATCTTCTTCTTCTTTGTAATCACCATATGTAAACTCAAGCAGAAATTTCTGGACTTTGGTCTTGTCCAAAACTTGGGTTTTGGGTGCATATCTGTTTTATAGATCTTCTTTGTAATCACCATATGTAAACTCCAGCAGAAATTTCTGGACTTTGGTCTTGTCCAAAACTTGGGTTTTGGGTGTATATCTGTTTCATAGATCTTCTTTGTAATCACCATATGTAAACTCCAGCAGAAATTTCTGGACTTTGGTCTTGTCCAAAACTTGGGTTTTGGGTGCATATCTGTTTTATAGATCTGGCTTGTTTGTGTGAAAACTGTTAGTTCCTCCCTCTCAGGGGTGATATCACACAAATTTTTAAGTGGTTATAGTTACAAATGTCATTGCTGTGATGGTAAAGTAGCACTTGTCTTTCTGAATTAGAGCTTCAAGAGCTGCAGAATAGAGACAGTGAATTCTCTGAGGTTATCAAACGACTACAAGATACTAGTCACCTGAAAGATGACCTGGAAAATCAAAGAAAAGGTAAAATTTGCTACTTGTGAATGCATATTTTAATATCAAAATCCTCATGTTTGGTTATTCACTCTTTCTGAATGAGGAAAAAAGTTTTCTAGCAAAAGCAACTGAGTGCAGAGATATGTCTCAGAAGAGCCAAGATATGTCTCAGAAGAGCTAAGAATTAATAAAGTTAAAGTCTAAAGTTGAAAGGATAGACTGCATTTCACCGGGTTTTATTCCATAGGGCTCGGTCTCTTTCCACAGAACAGCTAACCACCTGCTGAGAACATTGCACAAAGCATGCATTCCATAGCTTTGGTAATAATCTCTGAGGATCTCCGTATCAATTGAACCCATGAACCAAACGATGCAGCCATGAAGGTAACCTATGGCCTTTAGAGCATGAGTTGAATGGCTTAACCACTTTTTTCGTGAAGATCCACCTGAAAAGGAAGGATCAGAACACAATTGTTTGAGGAAAATAGCTGCAAAATTGAAAAACAATGTAAGGAGCTTTTCTTGGCCCTTAGACCTATTGGGTAGATAGAGCTAGACCCTGTCCAGAAAGCAATGGCAAACTACTGCCAGGGGCTGCTGGGGTTGGTTCTGCAACGTCCTGTAAAGGATACGCAACTAACCAAAGGGCTAGACCTAAATTTTATAGACCAGTCGGCACTTGGTGGGTGATATTATTTTTACCAGAGAAACACGGTAGTGGCATAAATACCTTCTGTATTATAGAGTTGCTGGCGATTGTGATATTGTCATTTGTTCAAGCATGTCTTATTTTTGGTGTCTGACAGAGTGTGAGCAACAAATTGAAAGAGAAAAATGTGAAATTATGCAGCTACAAGAGCAACACTATCAGCTTGAATATGCACCAGAAACTGATGAGAGTTTTGCTGTGTATGTTTCATGTGATATATCTTCGATATTTTCTGTCTTATTTTATTCAGCAGCTCTTCATCTTCTGTCTGAAATAATGTAAACAGTTTTATTTGGATTTTACATTGTGAAATGTACATGCAGAACAAGATAAATATAGTTTACATCTTGGGGAACAATCACTAGTAGCTCCATTGCCTTTTCCTGTAATCAAGTATGTTGTTACAAACTGTCTTACAGTATGTGTGTGTGTGTCAGTATTTGCTTAATCTCCAGAAGCCTCCTTTGTCTGATGAAATCCACAGTGAATAAAGGCCTTAAATTAATATGGTGCTAAAAACTGATGACTATTGTTCATTGTTCATTTTAGAGATCATCTTTGTTGCACATCGGACATGACTATAAGTGCTCTGATCTCCTCCTGAATATGTCTCAAAGTGTTTTTAGACTAACAACTCCCATTCTGTTCTGGCTGATGTAACAATGGGTAGCTCCCACATGGTTTTTCTATCTTGCGGCTCCAACTTGTACTCCCAGGGTATGCAGTCTATTCAGTGTAAAATCATTTTCCAAGAAACTGAAAGCCTCACAGTGTTTAGTCTCTCACATAGTATTAATGATGTCTCTCCTGTCCATAGATGACCAATTCCTGAAACTTGCACTGCCAGCCAGAGCATCTGCTCTCTCACTGCATTTCACACCATCATATCCTAGGGAAAAATGAAGGTTATTTTGTAAAATTCTGCATGCTGTATCAGATGGAACCACTGTTTCCGTATGTACCCCACCTTGATCTTCTGTAGCATGCTTTTTGAGTCACTGAACAAAAAATGCATTGGTGAACTAAGTCTTCAGCCATTCTAGGGCCTTTTTCACATCCATGATCTGCATTGTCATGCTGCTGTTTGTAGAATCAGAGTCTCCACTGTCTTTTTTGATGACTGTCTGGTTCTTGCCATAAAAGCCTATACACTTTGCATCTGACAAATCAAAGAACCATCTGCATATATAACAGCATCTTCCGGTGATGTGTGTTCCTCCACTAATGCTTTCACTTCTTCAACCACTATTGGTGGTGCCAAATCACAGCACTGTCTTGTCAGGGTGATAACCTCCACAAAGTACTGCTTGTTATCCATTTCTCTCAATGGTTTATATAGATGCCTATGATATATAGAACTTTATAGATTTCTTTTTTCGGGGCCATATTAACTTAACCTTAAAAGTAGAAAATTAATGCAACTTTAAGAGTGTTCTTTTGTCATGTTCTTCTTTCATTCACTTGAAATAGATTATCTAGACTGCAATGTTGTCTCTCCTATGAACTTCGCTGTCTTTTGTCATTCACTCAGTGACCCCTGAAGTTTGGCTTGCACTGGTATTTCTCTTGGCCAAAAGTTTTGCCTTGATAAGTTGTATTTAGTCATGTGATAATAAGAAAGGTATTGAAGAAGACTGTTGCAACTGGAAAAAGCCAGAACAAAAAGAGACTGAGAGAAATGATGTTGGGTAGTCTCAGAGAAAAAGAAACTCCTTTGTCATCTGCCAGGTGTGGTGATGCTTTTTAACTTATTAAAGAAATAATTTGTGTGAAGTATTAGCTCTACAAATAGATGGGTCAGCTCCTTGTGTAGGTTCTAAGACTCTGATGGTCTTATTATAAGACAGGCATGCTCCATGCAAAGTGGCGAGTATTGCTTCAGAGGTCCCAAGTATTTAGCATCTTTTGGATATTTTCTCCACATAATGCCAGTGTATTGGGAATGAGCAGGGAGATAGACTGGCTGGTTCCGCACCATGTGGTTGTGAAATGATATGTGACAACCTAGATGTTGTAAGGGTCCTTTGGGAGCGAGTGAACAGTGAGGAGGGTCAAAGATCTAGAGTATTTATTGGCTTTTACTGGAATGGTTATCAGTATTTGACTCTCACTTTTATTTTTTAAAGCAAGGTATTATATTAACAGATTGAACAGCGAATTGAAGAAGTACAAGACAGCTGATCTAGAGAAGAAAGCTAAAGACCTCCAGAAAGAGTTAAATCAACTGGCGAGGACAGCCAGACAGAAAGAGAGTCAGAGACTAAAACAACAGTACAGACAATGGCAAAGGCAGCGCCAACAAATGCTTCACCAAAAAAAACTAGAATAGCCGCATCAAAGCCAATAAACCACAGGTAAATATGACAATAATATGCAGAAATTTGTCATGTGGTAAATGCTATATGTCATCAATATGAAATACCAAAATGGTCTTAGCCAGAGCTTTTTTGTTTCTTACGGTGTGCAACAGTACACAGTACCGGCACCTTCTTTTACACATAATTCTTTTTTTAGTGCTTCCGTAACAGACACTTTGTGGTGAGTACTGTGACCTTGTTTAGACAGTTTGTGGTTAGTACCAGCACCTTTGTGTCTGGGGGAAAGGCCCTGGTCTTAGCTTAGTGAAAAAGACATAAACCACAAAATATTTAAAATAGTAAAATTTGTGGATTTTTCTCCATCACTGACAAGAAAATCATGCAAGACATATTTTAATGCATTCCTAATTTAGCATATCATTTCTTCTCCTCTTCACATTCACTGGCTGTAAGCTTCAATGGAAAGTTCTGGTTGTTTGTCTACTTCTGGAATCTAGTCCTCTTTCAGAACCTGAATATTGCGTGTACATCCGTTTCACAGGGGGGGGGGGGGGGGGGGGAACATGAGTGGTGACTGTCTGCCTTCAGTGTGTGAAACCACAGGGACTGTCTTGCATCATAAAAATGTAAAGTTTTGGTGACACTCTATAACAGAATCATTAGCCAACTTAGTTTCTGCCCAGGATGCCTTTTTATGAGGTGAATTTACCTAGGATGCCCTTTTATGATGTGAATCTACCCAGGATGCCCTTTTATAACATGAATCTGCCTAAGATGTCTTTTTATAATATGAATCTGCCTATGATTTCTTTTTATGAGGTGAATCTACCCAGGATGCCCTTTTATGAAATGAATCTGCCTAGGATATCTTTTTATGAGGTGAATCTACCCAGGATGCCCTTTTATGAAATGAATCTGCCTAGGATATCTTTTTATGAGGTGAATCTACCCAGGATGCCCTTTTATGAAATGAATATGCCTAAGATGTCTTTTTATAAGGTGAATGGTAGTCTGGTAGTCTTAGTTTCAGCTTCATAGCAAACGGGTCGCCTCATCTTTGCTCCGCTCCTGTGCCAACGAAAAACACATAGAATGTTTATCACAGTATTAGAATTGCAGTTCATCATTGATGGTAGCAGAAGTCGCCAACAGATCAGCAGTTGCCCACACGATAAATTTTAATCACATACGGGCAGCACAACTGCACTACAGGCATCGCGCCATTTTCTGAATCTACAATTCACACCAACACGTTGGTCACAGTCGAAAAAGCATTCCAAATGCAATCCGCAGCTCACAGGGTCATGCCATGCATTCAACTCAGAAGCTGGGCGACGAAACTAAATCCAGTCTACAAATGGAACAAAAATGCATCGGCCACCGTCCGGCAGAAGCAAAAAAATTTGCCTCTGTTTCGAACAGCGCCGCTGCCTAACATCCATTTTGACCGGAAGCCGGAGGAGGATGTGAAACAACCTAGGATGCCCTTTTGTGAAATGAATCTGCCAAGGATGTCTTTTTATGAGGTGAATCTACCCAGGATGTCTTTTTATGAGGTGAATCTACCCAGGATGTTTTTGTATGAGGTGAATCTACCCAGGATGACTTTTTATTAGGTGAATCTACCCAGGATGTCTTTTTATGAGGTGAATCTACCCAGGATGTCTTTTTATGAGGTGAATCTACCCAGGATGTCTTTTTATGAGGTGAATCTACCCAGGATGTCTTTTTATGAGGTGAATCTACCCAGGATGTCTTTTTATGAGGTGAATCTACCCAGGATGTCTTTTTATGAGGTGAATCTACCCAGGATGTCTTTTTATGAGGTGAATCTACCCAGGATGTCTTTTTATGAGGTGAATCTACCCAGGATGTCTTTTTATGAGGTGAATCTACCCAGGATGTCTTTTTATGAGGTGAATCTACCCAGTATGTCTTTTTATGAGGTGAATCTACCCATGATGTCTTGTTATGAGGTGAATCTACCCAGGATGTCTTTTTATGAGGTGAATCTACCCAGAATGTCTTTTTATGAGGTGAATCTACCCAGGATGTCTTTTTATGAGGTGAATCTACCCAGGATGTCTTTTTTATGAGGTGAATCTGCCAAGGATTTCCTTTTGTTAGGTGAACAGAGGTCTTGACTAATGGGAGCCTTGAACCACAGTATCTCTAGCATGCAGTCTGTGAATATTAATAAATATAGCAAACACTTTCATTAAACAAATATGTAAATGTTTGTCTTGTATGCTAACACTAATTTTAGTGCAGCAAAAGAAATGAAGAAACAGGAAAGAAAATTATTGCATGGGTTTAAAAGCGACAAATGCATGCATTATAATGTACTGAAACTGAGTGAAAGGGCAGTTAATATAATTCATTGATAATTCAACAAATACGATTCAGAGACCAGTCGAAAAGATTACCCCTCATCCATTACACACTATCTTTTGAATTCTGGGCATATTATAAACAAGGACAAATATTTTATATTCTCTATTCGCCAATCAATCACAGAATGCTACATTTTGTTGAAGCAACCACAATAATTTGCGTGCATCCACATTTGGTAGACAAAAGGACATGGTTGTGAACCTGCATTTGCCCTAGTAAAATAGGCAGTTACTCTTAAGTCTTGCTGATTTTGTATTTCAGTTGACAGGATTAATTTATTTCATTGTATTCAGTGATTACTATGGTATGCACCTGAATTATGTTGAGTATAAATTTTGCAGTCTGTTATTTAAGTCTTCTTTCTATTATAATTTTACACAATAGACTGCATTTGAGAAGTGTGTGTCAGCCTATTCTGCACTTTTTGACGCATGACTTAGGGGTGTAGGGTAAAAAGATAAGGATGGTACCTCGAGAAGTTGGACAGCCACATCCATCAGGGTGGTCCAAATTTCTTGGCAAGACTAAATGAGTGGAAACCATCCTGGGCATGTGAAGCTCAAAAGCCCTGAAAGGCAATTCATCTCCGTAAAGGACACACCGAATGCCAAACCACCACTGCCTTGTGGAATTTCCTGTAAGAACAAAGGCTAAGGCAACAAAGCCCGACAAAAAATGAGATAGGCAGAGCTCATAGACCCTGGAAGGCAATCGCCTAGGGGAATCCTGAAAATAAACCTCAACCGTCGAAGTTGAAAGATATCAGCCTATTTGGCACTTGACTAAAAATCTGGCATCTACACACTAGCGATATGGTCATGCAAACAACATTATTACTTTATGGTGTCATTTCTATAGGATGTGGCCTGGTGGTAATGGCACCGGGCCCCCTCTTTGAAGAGGCTCACCCCAAGCTACTAGAGCCGCAACCACTGAATCTTCTGGAATGACCAGGGAAGAGAGTAATGCAACTGGACACAAACTGACAGTTATGCACTGGAATGCTGAGGGAGTTAGGCTGAAGAAAACTGAACTACAAAATTTTGTGAAGCAGCTCGATATTGACATATGTTGCATTTAAGAGACTCACCTCTCAAGTGCACACAGATTCTCTATCAGAGGACACCAAATCTTCCAAAACGACAGGTTAGATAATCCACACCCCAGGTCTTGACTTCTGTCAAGAACATGAAAACAGCATGGGAAATCCAGAAATCTCTGCATGGTGATAAAGTGTTTATCACAGTCACTATCAAGGGTGCAAGAGGAGATGTGACAGTATGCAGCGTCTACTCACCACCAAACAGATACATGTATATTAATTTGGGACCCATCCAACCAAACACCGACAACTGGATAGATGTAGGAGATCTAAATAGCCACTCACCCAGCACAGACCTCGATGCAAAAAGAGAAGATGAGTAAAACTTGGTCATCAGCAACACTCTGGTTCTGAAAAACAATCCTAATGACCCCATGTACATACTACTGTCGATCTTGGAGGAAAACTATCACCCTAGACTTGGCTATAGCAACTGAGTATGTGGAGAAAGTTACCAGTAACTTATGTCAACAGCTGGGAGGCAGGGATCACAGGCCCATAATCCTGTCTATTAACAAAAGTCGAGAAATCACGGAGGAAAAGAACTCTCCCAGGTGGAACTACAAGAAGGCTAACTAGAGCCTTTTCACTTCTCAACTGGACAACATGTTGACAAGAGTCTTCTTTAAAAGATGGGAACCAAATGTCAAACTGAAGATTCTCAACACAGCATTTCTAAATGCAGCCAAGGGTAACATACCTCAAGGCAGCAGGGGAAAAAACAGAATACACAGGGGGTAGGAATGGATCGACATGAACACCCACAACAGCAGTTTCCTATCAGATCATTATCACGTTAGGAAGAGAATGTCGAGAGTTGTGTAACGGTACCGCAGAATTAGAGACACAACAACTGATAGATGGAAAGGCTGGGCTAGATGATGTAGTAGTGTACACCTATGGTTCAGTTCATCGGGGTGGACGATCTGGCTGAGAATTTTCAGCTAAAATAAAGGGGGCGATTGTGGCAAAACAAAACGGATCTTTTTTATTTACAACTTCAGGCCTGAGGATGGAAGTGCAGGCAATCACTGTAGATCTGAATTGGATAGCAGAAAACAAAGTTAGCAGAGGAATTATTGTGTCTGATTCTCAGTCGGCATTGCTTCAGCTTCAAAATGGACTAATGTGGCATGAGTTAATACCATGCATCAGTAGGTCAATATTGCAGGGAATCACGTGGATATACTGTCCGGAAGATGCAGGAGTGCGAGGGAATGAAAGAGCGGATTTTCTGGCTACAACAGCGAAAGCTACGGCAACACTCCTATTGGACAAGGGAGATATTCTGAAGACCATATATGAACGACTTTTGGCAGAAGACACGAGATTAGATTAAATAACATGGGCCAGAATGTGTGAACGAGGAATTAAGTGCGGATCCGGCAAGGAGGGACGGAGGAAAGGAAGAGATCGGCGTGTGTATAATCAGTTTCGGGAACAGCATCTACACTTTGCGTCATTTGCTGCGGGAGACGGAGCCTCTATGGGTATGCCCGGTGTGCTATGATGTCG